ACCACCCCACAGATTCTTTAAATTCTCTGTTCGTTTGAAATGTCTACCTATATATGTTTCTTTTAAAAATTTAAATTCCTTGCTGGAGATGTTTAAATAATCCACATCCTAGGGCAATTTGAACTCAGTAGCAATGTTTTGGTTTATTTCACATTTCACTACACCTTATGAAGAGCTGCCATTTTTCCCATTTTGATAAATAACTTCTATTCTCTGGATGTTGAAGCTATTGTTTTCTGGCTTCAAGGGTGGCTGGGAAATGATTGCTTTCCAAGAGACCCTATCAAAAAGAGCTGTTGAACATCTCCACTTCACCTCTGTTCAAAAGGAACTGGTACCCTCAGTCTCAAGTGTGATATATTCAAGTCTGAGAGGATAAATGTGAGCCAGGGAACCTTGTTTCTGACTTGTTGAAAAGTTTGTTTCCCTGAATTTCTTTCTTTAGTAGGACTCAGATTATACTGACAAAAAAAAAAAACAAAAAAAACAATGGCAATTATAGTGTGTAAAAATGACTATGCTTCAGGGTCTCCGTTTAAGCAAGTTGGAAGGGTGACTTCAGGATGTTATTGGTACTTTGTCATTCCTATATGTAAGAACTTATATAATTAGCAATTTGGTTGAATATCGTGTTCCTGTTGTTGTTGTTGTTGTTGCTTTTGTTTTTCAAGACAGGGTTTCTCTGTGTAACAGTCCTGGCTGTCCTGGAACTCACTTTGTAGACCAGGCTGGCTTGGAACTCACAGAGATCCACCTGCCTCTGTCTTCAAAGTGCTGGGATTAAAGGTGTGTACCACCACTGCCTGGCCCGAATATCATGCTCTTCAATTTCTTAGAAAAAGTTCAACTTTTTTTTTTTTAACAGAATGAGACATAAGCCACAACCATCCCATGATATATTTTTACCAAGTTTTGAGTACTTCAGTTAACAGGATGAGAAACTACACACTCTTGTTCTGACTTCTTCCTGTTCGCACTGCATCTTTGAATTTCATCTATGGTATCGGGTGTGGCTGACTCATTTTCATTGTGATGTAGTGCTACAGTGTTAGGATTACCACCTTTTTTTTTTTTGCAAAGCCATTAGAGGTCTTACAAATACTATTGCTATGAAAGTTCTTATTTGCGTTTAAATGCTAAATGTTCATTTATGCTCCACTGTATGTATACTTTAGAGTAGTTTTGTTGGGCTATGCACAATTGGAAACTTACTAGGCAGAACCAATTTATCGAAAAGTTTATTCCAAATTCCACACCTATCAACGGTGTGTAAGAATGCCACCTCCACTCTTGGACCCTTGCCAATATTTAGTCTTTCTTTTTAACACTTCAGCTAGTCTGGTAAGTGTACGATTGGTTACTTTTGATCCCTCATGACTAATTATTTTGGCCACCTTTTAATAGATGTAGTGGCCACTTGGATATTCTCTTTAATGATCAAATATTCATCATCTTTACCCCTAAATTGGATTTGTTGCTTTTTCCTGATTGACTTATTCTTTGTCTTTCTGTTTTTTTTTTTTTTTTTTTTTTTTTTTTTTTTGAGACCGGGTTTCTCAGTGTAGCCTTAACTGTCCTGGTACTTGCCCTGCAGACCAGGTTGGCCTCAAACTCACAAAGATACCCCTGCCTCTGCCTTCCAAGTGCTGGGATTAAAGGCATACACTACCACTGCCTGGTGGTTGATTTATTCTTAACACTTTCTTCCAAAGATTTATCTTTATTTTACATGTATGAGTGTTTTGTCTACATATATGTAAGTGCACTTCATTTGTGGTTATTGCCTGCAGAGACCAGAAGAGGGAGAAAGTTGGGTCCCCTTGAACTGGAGCTAAGAAAGGTTTTGAGCCATCATATGGGTGCTGGAAATTGAACTCCAGTTCTCTGCAAGAGCAGCAAGTGCTGTTAACCACTGAGTCATCTCTCCAGATGAACAGACAAAATTTTGAGTTGCAATTTATTAATATTTCCCTCTGGGATCATGTTTTATCAAGTAATTCTATGCCATTGTCAAAGGTGTAAGTCTGTTTTCTCATGCTGCTTTTGCAACAGCATTTCATTACTGGGTGGATGACTATTTCCCAGCACTGGTACTAGGGAGCTTATCACCCTTAAAAATTCTGCTAGGTGCATTTCCCTGAAGTTCCAGCAGATGGTAGTGTTGCTGTATAAAAACTAGGTGCTAAAAAGTAAAGCTTTGTCAGTTTCAAGGGTTATTATTTTGAAAACAGTTTTCTTCCTCCTCTTCCTTCTCCTCTTTCCTGATTTGCTTATGGGAAATGAGACATCTACTGAAACACAAATTTCACCTCAAATAATATGTATGTATGTATGTATGTATGTATGTATGTATGTATGTATGTATGTTGGTTAGCAATCTGGCAATAGGCATTCATGGTAGATGATAAGACAGGAGGCAGGGAGGCTCTTTAGCACTGAGAACAGTGGTGGTTAGCAGTCTGGCAATAGGCATTCATGGTAGATGATAAGACAGGAGGCAGGGAGGCTCTTTAGCACTGAGAACAGTGGGAAGAACTGAAACCTAACCCTAACCCTGTGATTTCTACATTTAATCATTCAGCACCATAACAAAACCAGGCTGGCAACATCCATGTTTTAGGTCCCAGGTTTAGTTTGTTTAGCAAAGTACACTGATACGTTTAGGACAATGGTTTTATAGTCACAATTTGTTATATATCCCTGTCTTCAAGAAGGTGACTCTTAACCATTGATGTCTTGAATTACCCATTAAGTACACAATGTCTTTAACTTCCATGTGATACAAGGGGCTATGCCTAGATAATTCCTAAATGTTTTCTCTGCAGAAATAAATAAAAATAAGTAAATAAATAAAATAGCATTCTCTCCTCTTTTGTCACACGAGTCGTTTGCCTTTCCAGAGAAATGGGAAATAGACCCATCTGAGTTGGCCTTCATCAAGGAGGTTGGAAGTGGTCAGTTTGGGGTGGTCCACTTAGGAGAATGGAGAGCACATATCCGAGTCGCCATCAAGGCCATCAATGAAGGTTTCATGTCTGAAGAGGATTTCATTGAAGAAGCCAAAGTGATGATGTAAGTGCGAACCCCACCTACATAAAAACCGCCCGCCCTGTGGCGGGGGGGGGGGGGGGGTTGTCCCCCCCCCCCAAAAAAGGCTCCACACCCCCCGGCCCTTGGGAGAAACCAAACCTTTTTTTCAAATC